CTCAAGTCTCTAATTCGAACCGAGCTCAAGGCTGATAGTTTATGAGCGAGCCCCTACAACATAGGGCTCCCTCCGCTAGTAAATATATTTAGCTGAAATGTGTATGTAAGAAGGCGTAAGGATGAGGGAAATAGAATTTAACAGTATTTTTTGCCTTTCCTACCAATTCTCTCTCTTTTGCTTTTTTTCTTTCAAATTACAAGAATGCCACTCTCTCCTACCAATTCTCTATCTCTTTTGCTTTTTTTTCTTTCAAATTACATGAATGCCACTCTCTCCTACCAATTCTCTCTCTCTCTCTTGTCTTTTTTTCCTTTCAAATTACAAGAATGTCATTCTCTCTCTCTCCTCTTATAAATTACAAGAATGCCACTCTCTCTCCAACTGAGGGGGACCTCAGCTCGGCATCTCAGTTGCTAAGGGACTTGCAATCAAAGGTAGTCGAGTTCGAGCCAAGCTCAAACTTCTGAACTCAAGCTCAAGTCTCTAATTCAAATTGAGCTCGAGCTAGACGACACCTCGACCACTGAGGGAGACCTCGGCTCGACACCTCGGTCAGTGAAGGAGATTTTGGCTCAACACCTCGACAATTGAGGGAGACCTCAGCTCAACACCTTGTCAACTAAGGGAGACCTTAGCTTGACAACTCACCTGTTAGGGAAACCTCAGCTCAACACTTCAGCAGCTAAGGGAGACCTCAGTTTGGCACCTCGGCAATTGAGGGAAACCTCGGTTGCTTGAGAGACATGCAATCAAAGGTATCTAGGCTCGAACTTCCGAACTTTTGACTCGAGCCAAGCTCAAGCCTGATAGTTTTTGAGTGAGCCCCTACAACACAGGGCCCCCTCCACTAGTATATATATATGGTAAATGTACTTAGATAAACAATAGATTGGATACAGGAAAAAGAATTGTATGCTAAGATTTGGAGAGGAGAATGGAGTTTCTCCTTGTTGTAAGTAGTGAAGAAGATGACAGGAGGTTCAGCCAATGTAGAGAGTAGAGACTACCGCAACAATGGGGAAAACCTTCGTATGCATCAAAATATATATAAAAAAGTGAAAATGGCTCGCCATAGCAAGAGTATTACAGATCTAGTCTCACCTTTGCTCAAGATCACTGGAGAAGCTGTCGGAGATACGACCATTGGGGTGCTGGACAGAAGGGAGAAGAGACTCTCAAGTTTTTAGTCAGACAAAGCCTGATAACTTTTCTCAGACATGTTTCACTTTTTTCCTTTCTCACCGGGGTCACACTATTTTGGTGGGATCCCATTCACGTGTTTTTCAGATCTCGCATCTCTCTTTTCTCATCCCAAACCACCGTATCCCAACAATCCAACATGGGGAAAAATCATTTAGGAATATTCCTCTTTTCCCATCCCTTTCCTACAAACCAAACGGAGCCTAAAGGTCTCAATTTCAAGCCTTAGATTGCCCGAATTGGGGTTCATATTGGCTTAAAGACTTTCTGGTTGGTTACGAATTACAAGACATTTAGGCATGGAAATGGTAAGGGGATTGCATGGAAGGTAACCAGATTTCCTACTAACTTTTCCTACCCACTGTCTACCTGCCGTGAATTGCAGCCACACATCTCTCAATTCATAATAGAAATGTGTGGTTCCAATTCATGGCAGGTAGAGAGTGGGTAGGAGAAGTGAGTAGGAAATCCCGAGAACACCTCTTAAAATGGGACCGGATCGGACAGTCGGATTGAAAAAATCAGGAACCGGTCACCTGACTAGTTCTGTTTTACCCCAGAACTATCTTTTTGGCAAAAAAAAAAACATTGATTTGGTTAGCAAACTATTGGCCCGGCCGGTCAAACCATTTGAATCGTCCAACGGTTTTTGGCCATTTTTTATTTTTTATTTCTTTTTTTAGAACGGGCGATCAGTTCGATTCAAACGGTCAAACTGTTCAACTCAGGAACCGGACCCCTAAACGGTTCGTTGTCCGGTTCGGTTTTAAAAACCTTGCTGCCCGGTCATATATTAACTTATTAAATAAATTTTGAAAATAGCGGGTTTGCCAACGTTGGATGAATCCACAAAACAGGGCCACCATCAAACCAGTTTTTTGTGAAGCTCAAACTGCCAAACTAAAAGTCCCAGCTTTTACCTTTCTTGTAAGGCTTCAACCAAACTCAGCTTTTTCAGGTTGGGTTCGGGTTAAAACGGCCCAAGTTGCTTCCCAAAATCTAAATCTTGATACATTTGCTCTTTCTGACTTATAAAACTGATTGTGTTATACCGCTTGGTTTCTTGTTGGATTTTCATGGGAGGTATGACTTCAATTTCTCCCTGGTTAGTGTGATTTCTCATTTTTTTTATAAATCTTCTAGGTGAATTTACAACAAAAAGGATAAATTACTCATCCCTCCCGCAGAGTGTTTTCAAAACCGGACCGGATCAGATGGTTGGACCAGAAAAACCAGGAACTGGTCACCTGGTTGGTTTCATTTCACCCCAAAACCTCATTTTAGCAAAAAAAGAAAACCATTGATTTGGTCAACAAACTGCTGACCTGGGTGGTCAAACCATCAAACAATTGATCCAAACAACAATTTCTGGCCATTTTTTTTATTTTTTTGTCAAAGCATACTATCCATTCGGTCCGAACAGTCCCCGGACCATTCAACCTAGGAACCAGACCCTAGAATGGTTCCTTATCCGGTCCAGTTTTAAAAATCTTATTCCCGCAGGTTTTCAGTCAAATATTAAGACCTCCTCTCCGGTTTACCCATTAACTTAATCAACCCTACTTTTTGGCGCATCCTTGCATATTGTATGGACAAAAATGCTCTAATTTACGGTTCCATCTCTTTTAATCAATCCAAGGGACTGGCAAGGCAAAGAAAGATGCAAGTGGGACAAACCATCCTAAGCATCCGATGTCTTGGAAAGGATAGACTAGATATAGACCTAACTTTGTTCAATTTTCTTTTTTCAAAAATTGTGTTCTCAACTTATCCTCTCTGTCAACAATAGTTTTTAAAAACGAACTGGTCAGGGGTCCAGTTACTGGTTCGAATGGTCCAACCATTCAACCTGAATGGCCGGCCCGTTCTGACAAAAAAATAAAAAAATAAAATAAAAAACGGTCAAAATCATTCAAACGGTTAACCAGCCGGTTTAGTGGTTTGCTGACCAAAATCAACGGTTTTGGGGGGAAAAGCGGTTTTGGAGAAAAACGGAATCAATCCCTGACCGGTTCCCAATTTTTCTGGTCCAACCATCCGGTCTGGTCCAGTTTTGAAAACAGTACTGTCAACCCGAGATTAATAATCCATTGTTATTTGTTAGCCAATCAAGAAACGTACCATATAGTAAATCTAAAAAGGGTCAAAAGTACAGCTCAAGTATTTCATCATCCAAGCCTTATCCCAATTATATGGATTTAATACATGAAACCAGGAAAACATTCGCAGTTGCATGAATATTATTAGACATAACATGTCAACCCAATCAGTCCCTTGTTTGTCTTTTTTGTCAAAAGAATATTGAGAGCAATTACTCTTTTACTCCCTCCCATAGTAATGTGTTATACCCAAGGACACGAGTCCTTTCGCCATTACATTCTGTTTAATGCCATATAAATAATTAAATTATAAGCATTTAACCATACAAAAAAAAATCCTCTTGTACAGTCACAACAAACCCAAACCCAGATGATGACAAGACATGTTTATTAATTCCTAATCCTAGTTGATCCCTTGGCCATACTGGAAGTCTAAAAGAGCTCTTCCTGGCCCTTCTCCATGTTAAAACATGTGATGTGGCAAATGACTAATACAGCATTGCAGATAAACAATCCAACTTTGCCCCTCTCCACCGTGGAAAAGTAGGTGTGCCTCGTTAATTGACGGATTGGGTTGTATTAATTTAGTCCTGGATCACCTGTGGGTTTTTGAACCGAATACAATGACATTTAATGGATTGGGTCATGGTTATGATAACCCATTATTAGTGATATTTCGTCTTTTCCGAATAAAGGGGCAACAATTGATCAAAACTTTAGAGTTCCGAGAAAACCAAATCACAGCTCCTTGCAGCTGCACATTGGGAATATACCGCACAGCTGCAAGTGGCTGTAAGTAAGGTGCGACGGAATCCGATATCTCTGCAATTATTCCCATCGCTTTCTTCACGGTTACCACTTTCCCCCAAAACCACCTTCGCCTTGTATGTGTCATTCCAATAGCAGAAATCTCAATAATAGTCAACTATTGACTCAGTCCCCACGAAAATCCACCCCAAAAAAAGCACTTTCTTGTATGAAAGTATGAAACTCGAGTAGGATTTATCAGAAAATCCTAATCCCAATAAAAGGGGGATTAAGATTTCTCAGAAATTTCATCTTGGAGGCTCTCCCTATAAGGTACTAAAAGTAAAGGTCCTGTAGACAAGGTCCAACTTGTTAAGGTTAAAGTTGAAATTCATGAACCTAGCTTTACTTTAAGTTGGATTAGGGTTGAACCATCGGGCAACCCGACCTAACCCAAACCCAAATCTATAGTGAATGTCATATATAAATATATGTTATACATATGGTTTATTATGCATTGACTTGTTTAGATGCATGATAGTTGTATAACCTCCACCATATACAATAATGCCTTTCTTTTAAGATCACATAATCCTAATCAGAAAGACTAAAACCTTAATAACATATTTTATTGTTCATCTCCTCTCTGTTGTTTGTTAGTTGTCACCCATAACTTGCTGCCCATAAAAGATCTATCATAAGCCATAACTCATAATAAAATATAGTCATTTCAAACACTTTTTTTTTTGAATTTTGTACTAAAAGAACCAATAAAAACATCAACAAATAGTCAAATACTAATAAAACGTAAGGTTATATGTAATGAAAACTGAATTACGATTTGAGATTGAGAAGTTCTACAAGATTTAAGAGAGGGAAGAAGGTTGGATTAGCGTTAGACAGGGTAAGCAAAGTATCCATGAGCTGCCAGACCGGTGAATATGTCACAGATACTATATGCCCAATGCGGGCCTATCTTTTTCACATAAAAATAAATAAATAAATAAATAATCTAGAGTATCGATCATTCAACCATCGTGAAATGTTTGGCAGTATAGTGGTAGAACTAAATAGTTCCAATAATGGAACTTGGAGAAATTATAACAGAGCGGGGGTAAACAAGTAGCCAATTTACATTAGCTATATTCAACAAAGATAATTTTATCTTAACCATAAAGTGGAAGGCAAGCATACTGGACATGTTAAAACGAACTCAAGGAAGGGACCATAATGTGAAGTTACTACCTTCCACATCCTCGTTAAAAGATGAATTCGCTGAGCTGAACATACTTGTCACCTGAAGAACATTCTCTTACGATATATGCACTATCTTCTACATCAGCATTTGGACAATTCATTCGGTGCCTATATTCAATGTTAGCAGTGGCAACATGTGTTACTCCAAATTCAAGCAGCCAAAATGAAACTGATAAAAAAAGATGATCAAATTACCATGTGAAGTGTTCATCACAACATATGGAACCCCAGATGATACAAAGTCCAGATCCTTTCCTGCATTCAAACACCATTAACGTTACATTATAGATTGATGAAGTGATAAGTCATGGTCCGCAGGAAGCCCTTTTATGAGGTAGATGGATAGGATCTAAGGATCATCCATTTGATTTGATGTTCCATTTCAGGCTAGTGGTTCATCTATGTGTGATCTCAATTGCCTTTATGGACCAGGCCCCTATTAGCCAGTGCCGCATGGACACAGACACAATAGTCAATATCCAACATGTATCCAAGAGACTGACTAGGCAAGGTGAGAAAACATGGACTTGTGGAAACATCTATGGAAGAGTATAAACTATTAAAATAGTTCATATTTTTTTGAATGTTAACATATACCTACAAAAAAAATGCTGCTTTTGTTACCAAGTAACAGTTGATATGAAAAACGGGACTCGTCTTGCATATTAGCTGTTCATTTATGTCAAATAAACTATATGATAAAAAGAACATTTTACATAGAAATGTCCTAAAGAATCCATGTAGTTTTTTTTCTGAATTTTTTAGAAAAATAGAAAACATAGAACACGGGGCTAATCATTTTTATTAGGAAACTGAATCTAATCATTCATGGACATCTTTTAAAACCATTCTGTGCATCAGATGGGCCTTTTCTAATTCTATGTAAAAAATGAAAAGCTGCTGCAAGCTCTATTTAGTGGCTTCTAGAGAGGTATTTAGCCAGTGAAACAGGATACAGGTAGAGATTACATACCAGGTGGCAGTGTACATATCATAGAACTTGTCAAAGGCCTTATCAAAGCAATAGTTACAAGCCAAAAGATCCTTGATATTGGTCACATTGCATGTTGACTTGCAGCATTTTACCTACATCAACATGGATTTATGTTCTCAATCAGACGAGACAATTAACAAACACCATGTGATATTAACAACAATGGCTCACTAACTCCAAGAATATCCATTTCAAAAAGGTAAGCAATCAAGAATTTAGTGTAGATGGCATTTTCAAGATAGCACAGTAAAGTGGTATTCATATCCATGCACCAAATTATTTGCAATCCTCCTCTGTTTATCACATGTTCATCCTTTCAGTAGCCAATACAGATTACCACATGAAAACCCTTTCACCATAGAGCTTCTTGGTGTTTTAGAACCAAAGTTGCTCAAACCACTGCAGCAGAGTAAGGCTGAGAAAAATGAAAGAAATTCAAGGAGATTATGGGAATCTAATAACATAATCAGGAAGCAAGAGCATCTAAAGTCAACATCTCCATCTGGATATGGCAATCAGCTGGCTCTACCACTAATGGTTGCTTAGCCCAATACTGAGGAGCATCCTTTCCTTCACAAGATGGTTCATTATTTGTTCTACTATCATTTATGGTAGTGCCCTATTGTTGTTGCTTACCTCAATTCCAAAATAGTCACATTGTTTTTTGGTCATTCTATCTACATTGTAAGAGGCATAACAGAGAGAATCACCTGGAGTTCCCATCATTTTTACTGTCTCATTTTTCTTTTTCTTTTATTAACATTTCTTTTGTAAGATTTTAAAATTACAGTACAATTACGTTTTTAGCTTTGACCTAATTTCCATTTACTTGACAGTAGGGGTGCTCACGGTTCAGTTACCTTTTTGTGAACCGAACCGGTAGTACCAGTTTTTGGAAAACCGGTAACCGGAACCGAACCAAAACCAGTCGGTTAACCGGTTGACCGGTTCGGTTAACCGACGGTTCGGTTCGTCGGTTTTTTGGTTTTTTTGACTTTGTAATATTTATTATAAAAATATATATAAATATATAATAAAAAATAAAATATTATATTTTAAATAATAAATAATATATAATATATTTATATATAATACGTATTTATTAATTTATTATATATAAAATATATATAATATACATAAATATATAGAAAAACAAGTATACTGGTCGGTTCGGTTAACTACTGGTTTTTTAAATTGGTTAACCGAAACCGAACTGACATCGGTTAACCAATTTTTCGGTTTGGTTTTTCGGTTTTTTTTTGCTCACCCCTACTTGACAGACCTACAAATCAAACAATTAGCAGGTGTGTAATCAACAGAGTGGTTTCTTTGTCAAGAGAAGATGATACTTTATTTACTTTGTGTTCCCTCAAATAACATAGTGCTTTGCATAATATGAAAATGCTATATGTTCTAACAAGGGAAGACTCCTGGAAACCAAGAAAGCAAATCAAAAGCAAGTTACTTTATATTCTACAATTTGTTAGGATAAACAATTAGAGATGTTAATTCCTAGAAACCTTTTAAACAATATTTTACAAAAAAAAAAAAAAAACAATTTCAAATCACTGAATGATCTTGGAAAGTAGAGTTTCACCAGATCAATTAATTGAAATTATTACTTTCTACTCCTTCCTCAAGTCAGCAGGTAACAAGTCACTTGGTAAATTTGCCCCAATTGTCCAGATTTTCAATGCCACACATGTATATTTACAACTTCAATAAAAAGGGAAAGGAAAAGAAAATAGAGACACCAAAATCCATAATTTTCAGGAAGTGAATTTCATAACCACATTCAATAATTGCACCACAGAAATGAAGATAAATTGAAGGTTCTGAAGGGTAGTGAGAAAAGACATATGCTTCATTTGTTAACAGAAGACATGTACTTGGGTAGAGAAGAATGGAGAAACAAGATTCAGTTACACAAGATAAGCCACATGATGATGATAATAATGGGAGAGGTAGTGGAAGTAATGAAATGACAATGATGCCCATACAGAACTGCATAGTTGCCAAGGTGACAAGGCGGAGGTTGAGCAATAGTGGGGCACCTTGTCATGTAGGTGCCTGGATGCCCATCTAGGTGATGCCTAGTGACTAAGTGCACCTAGAATAATCTTAGTGATGAGGAGTAGGGTGGATAGGTTATGCTTTTTAGTAATTTAAGGCTGTTGTACTAGGATGATGCATGGAATGATGGAATGAAAAGAACAAGGTTGGTGGGTCAATCAGATAAGGAAGGTAGGAAGCTGCTGTATGGAGGAATATTATGCTTGGATGAATCTTAGGGTCCATTCATACAATCACCTCAACCATTCTTGAAATTGCAAGTTTCAGAAAATAGCCTCCAGTACTTGCTTAAAGAAGGTTAATCCCCACTCCCTTTCCTTTATTCAGCAAATGCCACTTGTTAGGCAGACAACGAGCTGGGTTATAGAGTTTCATAAAACCAGAGAAATCCTTGTGGTCAACCAGCAAGGTTTCCATAGCATGTATAGTAAATTCACCAAACCAAAACAATTTGCAAGAAAAAGCCCACATAAAGAGGGAATAGTAACTTATCTGACCACAGAAAGCATTTCCCTTTTAATTATTTAAGAACCACTTAGGAAGACACCATTAGCATAAGTATAGAAGGGCAGTGTGGACATGAATGCTTAGTAAATAAAAATTAATCTTCCAATAACAGTGATGCATGTACCTTAAAAGGAAAAGATTAAATACTAAACTACATCTACATTATGCAGTAAAAAAAAAAAATCTCACCAAACGTCTAAGCTTATAAGAGTAATATTGTTGATGGGATGGGTGTGCTGCAATGTGCTCATTTAGATGACCTGCACTGTAAAGTACACCAAACTCGAATTTACAGCCCAGTAGAAACTTAAGAGGACAACATATGATGTAAACAAGAATAGCAATTGCATTCATACACTTGACAACATTCCATGACAATTCTAAATAGGTACTGTTATCCTTTTACCAGCAGTCGATTCTGAGCATGTCTAGTAAACAATAAAAAAAAAATCAATCTTAGTCCTAATTGCAACTTATTTATGCTATTAACTTCAATCCTAGCCCAAATTGAAATGAAATCCCAAAAACACATCAATGAATGAAAATTCAATCCTACCAAGAACATATTTTCTCCCCATAAGACTTGGTCTGGCTTCAAATATATTATTATTTATTAAAATGCCAAATGAAGTGAAAAAGGGAAAGAAATACAAAAGGAGAACAATAAACAATGGCCCAAACACACATGAAGAAACACAATGCCCTGAGATTTCTTTATGACATATAAAAAATGGACCAGTTGCTGTCAATGGAAGATGCACCAAAAAAAAGATCTTTCCCTTGCTACAAATTAATCAAAAATTTTGACCAAACTCCAAGAATTGAATTTAACTCTATCTGATAAATCGCTTTATAGAACAAAATGAAGTTCAAGTCACTTGATGGAAGATAACACATTTAGATACAGAGAGAATCTACAGCGAGAGAGAGGAAGATGATCGTTTTTTTTTTTTTGGATAAATAGAGAGGAAGATGATCATTAAAGAAAATTCTTTCTCACAAATATGTATTTTTGAAGAAATTGGCCACTTAGGGGAAAACAACATCTCCCTTAGGGGTAGAATAACTCTCATTAACTCTACATTGGATAATCTTCCTGTCTTTTTTCCCCTCCATCTTCAAAGTTTCTATCTACCCTTAGTTGCTAAAAAGTTGGAGAAGATCATGAGAGGTTTTCTTTGGGATTCAAGAGATACCAAAAAGGACCACCTGATTAACTGTACAACTGTGTGCAAGTGTAAGAAGGAAACTAGCCCTAGACAGAAAGGTTGATTCTTTTTTCTTATTAAAAAAAAAAAAAAGAAAGGTGGATTTTATTCACAATCTGCATGACTTGCTTCCCTAGAAAGAAAGATGGATTCTAGAAAAATGGTTGTGGAGATTCCTTGAGAAACCAGACAGGTAGTGGCATGCTGTGATTAAGGCCATGGTCCTATGGCCAATGGATAGGATGTTTGGTTAGCTGTTAGATCCACTCATGCTTGTCCTTGGAAGGCCATTTCTTCCGTGTCCTAATTGTTCTTTCTTCATAATAAAATCAAATTTTGGTCGGACTTTGGTGGGGAGAACTACCTCTTAAAGATAGATTTCAATGCCTTTTCCAATTGTCTTCTGATAAAATGGCCTTGGTTTCAAACTACATTACTTCATCTGCTCATAGTTCATCCTGGAGCCTTAACAATATAAGAGAGCTCAAGGAAAATAAGACATTTGAGATTTCCCTTCTTATTGACTCTCCAAGTGACTTTTCTCTTATGCTTCTCTTGGTGACTATAGAAGTTGGACAGCTAGCATTTTGGGTCTGTTCTCTACTTCCTCTTTCTTCAAGTCAATCTCATTGGATCCTCCCCACCACCACCCTTTCCAGTTAAGGCGGTTTGGAGTGGCCCTATTCCCCCTAAAATCAAGGCTTTCTATTGGAAGGTGGTGCATAAAAAGATCAGTACATGTTAGCATCTACAAAGGAAAAGACCTAACTGGTATTATCTCTCCTAGCATGTGTGCCTTGGTGCCTTATGCAAAAGCAAGTTGTGGAAACTACCTTGCATTTACCAATCTCCTGTCCAATTGGTTCTGGCATTTGGGGATTTTTCTTTACATTATTTGGTTGCAGGTGGACCCCTCCAGCTAGCTGGGTCGCCTATTTCAGTCTTCTTTTTTCTCACTACCAACAAATATAGGGAAAATACTTTGGAGATGCACTAGAACAGTGATCCCATGGGCAGTGTGGGAGGGAAGAAATGCAAGAATATTCAAGGAATTTTCAAACCAGGGAGGCAGTAATAGAATTATGGTGAAGGTGGCATATAGAGTGAGGACTTTGTTGAGCTTCACCTCCTTTTCCACCAACAACATCATTAGAAATTGGCAAGCCATTGCTGAATTTTCACATCAAGAGCACAAGTAGCCATTCAATGGACACTTCCTATATATTCTCTTATTAAACTCAGTTTTGATGGGTGCAGCTTGGGTTGTCGGTTATCCAAGGAACTCCAAAATTGAAGAAGCATTTAGGAGCTGTAATGATACCATACTGGTTATGCTTTCAGGTTCCATTGGCCATGGAGACTCTACAAGGGCAGAACTTATGGGCATATTACATTGATAAGATTGGCCAAAACCCTCAATTATATATCTATCATGGTCGAGGGCGATTCAAAAGTAGTGGTAGGTTGGGTCAGACATGACACAATGGGAACATGGAAATACAAATATATCTCGTGAAAGTTACACATTTGGCAGATGAACTGATTGCTAACTTCCAGTGGGTACCTCAAAGCGCTAATACCATGGCTGATGCATTGGCCAAACAGGGAGGATTAACTAGTGTGAGAGGTCATTCCTACAGGGAACTAGTTGTAAATATTCTACACAATTCAAGGGGTAGTAAGAAGATAAACCTACAAAATAGGGGGTGCTTGTCACATCACTGCTGTACAACATTCTTTTTTAACATTCTAATAAAAAATTGATTTTTCACCAATTAAAATAAATCTTTTCACAAATTTACTTAAACCTGTCACAAAAGATTGTATTACAATCAAGGCACATTGCCAAACTTGATGAGACACGACATTGGTTGCATTTTGCACTCGATAAGCCTTTTCCTACTTGGTGGCACCTGAACACATTAAACAAGTACAGAGATGAAATGATATCCTACTTGGTGGAATCTGAACACATTAAACAAGTACAGAGATGAAATGATGCTGAATAGAGCAGCTGATAATTTGAAATTTGACATGTAAAATGATTTCAAGCAAGGCAACATATAAACATCCACCTAAAGTCCTCGGTGGCCAAATGTTTTATAAGTGTAAATTAAAAGTAACAGCCAAAGCAATCTAAGGTGCTTCTGTTAATAACTGAATCTTTAAATGTCCTTACCTAACATAAATATAAAAAATAAAATAAACAAATTGTTCTACAATGATAGAAAATACATTCATGAATAAAGAGGAATATTGTCAAGCTGAGAGGATGGGAAAGGCCATCCTTATTGCCTTTTTATTTGATAATTCATCCCTCTTGCCTTTGCAATGTACGTGATTCTATTCATTGATAGAAATGTCACCTGAAATTTCTTACCAAGATCTTTAATGCCAAAATGAATCTCGAGAGGTTGTTCAACCATCAGACTAAATTTCATCCATAGGGCATTCCCCAAAGTGATGCACTAGGAGTTGTAACAATTTTTTAACAAAGGATATGGCCCTTAATAGAGTGAAATGGCAAAACTGGACTAGTGTATCCAATCCCATATAGTAAAGATAAGAGGATAAAGCTTTGTTGAGCATAGCTGAGTGTGATGTCTATTTCGACCAACTCACCATAGGCCATAGGAATATCATTAATGAGTCTCAAGTCTCAAGACAACTCCCTCCCCAAACTCAACATAGAAAAGCACAAAAGCATAGCAGTAATTTTGCGTCATTCATACAACAAAGGAAGGGAAGCTGGCTTCTTCCCAGCAGCCATGAGTTGTGGTTCACTCAGTGAAGCATGTCTACAAACTATATTCACAACATAAAATGTGATAAAATATTTCTTTAAAGATTCAATTGCTTGGCATCCAACTGTGAATAGCGATATAACCTTCTATGGTATATCATGACTTGGTGGTGATAGAAATGAGCAGTGTAGAAAAAGACATTCATTTATTTTTCTAAAGAATTAAAAAATAGTGTGAGAAAAGAAGATTTCCATTGATCTTTAAAATAACTAAAAATATTCCAAGGAGAAAATATAAAACATCAGAAATAAATGAAGGTAATCAATATTTTTCTCGTGGAACAAGAATTGATAACAGTGCAAATTTAATATAGAATTATCTTTATAAAATTGTTCCATGTTCTCAGGCATCCTTAGTAAATCCCTGCAAACACTGGACTGAATAATGTTGGATGAAACATAGAGCATCATAGTTAGCAAAATAAAAATTATAAGTGGATAAGAATTTTATAAACCTTTTGTAGAGCGCAAGAAGATCTCTGGAGATGGAACTGGACTTGCAGCCTTTGACAAGCATCTATGTGAAAGAAAAAAACATGAATAAACTGTACCAAGTGAAAAGGCAGGTCATGGTGCAAATAAGTAGTCAGAATTATCATGAACAAGAAGTAAAACCTGATTGCATGATTGAGTTGAAGCAAGAGATTGAGGATTACATGTTTTCACCAAACAGTCTTCTGCAAGGTGACCAGGTCTCTGACATTTCCAACTACAATGGAAATCAACAATTATAACGAGTATATGACTATATGCTGAACTGTATATGAGAGAGGAGGGGAGAGGGGGAAGGGGGCAAATGTGCTTTGACAGTTAATACTATCTCATTGCGAACATCAATGTTGTGCCATGAGGTAAGACTGCAAAAGGAGTTAAATAGCTGAAATTCACCAACATCTAATGTGCTTCAGAACTCTCCTAACAGGCATGCATCATAAACTGAGATGATTAACAATGGAATGTACCATCTATATGTGCATAGATTGAATGTCTTTGTGGTCCACTTAAGCCATTCAAAATCCCAAATATCCTCCTTAAACTCAGGTATCACTAAACCACCACCTATTCCTGAAAGGCAAACAAGAGAATCTTGGGTGCTAACTACTCCCTGCAAAATAGTGTACGAATAGGTTAGAACACTGTTCAGGGGAGAACACTTAATAATAATATGAACCTGAAAGTTATTACATATTCAGTCAAAGATATAAAAAGGATTGGAGAAAAACCTCAGACAGGTCAACATTCCCATGCTTCAGCAGCTCAGTTTTGCAATCCATACTACAGATATCGTCACCTGTCTGTATTGAGGATGGGGGAAATCATCAAAAGGGCAAGAAGGTGGTAATTTGGAAGACATCAAAAGCAATGAACAGTAGATTGCAATTCTCACCTCATCACAAATATACTCTCCATATTTTCCACATACCACACAAACAGGTTCTCCAGGAACTGGAAAGCGTTGCTCACTTCTTGCCTTGATACAATCAACTTCTTTCATATGATCTGAAGGAACAATGATGTCAACATAGATGATAATGATTCCTATCCCATAAAAGATCACATACCAAAAAGCCATTTACATTATTAAATTCTTGCCCAAAGAGCATATATATGCATGACAATGAAACTATATATGCATGCATCGCATGTGTCTAGATAGACATATCTTGAGTTTATATGCCTTATTATATTTCATATCATTTTAAGTTACATTGGTGACAAAAGCCAACAAATTATTACATTCCACAGTTTTCAGTCTATATGACAACAATAATACCTCATCATCCTTGAATAAATCACTTCTTTTTATTTATTTATTTATTTGGACGGGGGGTGGTGGAGGGTTAGGTGGTTATACTTAAATAACATGTAGAAGCTAGTCTAAATGTCAAGCTAATAAGGATTTAATCTTGAATTTTCTCTTGGCCTTGAAAAGTTCATGGTGGACGGAGGTCCACAGGTTGTGGTGGGCCAGATGCTCTCCCCTATAATGGGCCATGGACACTATCTTGCTTCAGAAGAAAAGCACCTAACATCCAGACAGATCAGAAGCTTATGTGGACCCTGAGATCAGCAAATGCTATGGCAGATGGCTTGCCAAGAGATCATGTAGGAACATAGGCATATTGGAGACCCCTTCAAATTCTGGTTGAGTTGTAAGCTATTGCTGTTCAAATATAGTGTAGCGTTTCACTATTTGAGGCTCAGGTGACAGGAGTGTAGTGTTTTCTCTCTCTTTCTCTTTTTCTATTTCAGTATTAATAAGATCTCTTTAATCATTTATGATGAAAAAATTCAATCTAAAGATAACATATTTCAAGTTCACCCAAATTTTTATCTCTAGAAATTTCTATAGTCAAAAAATGCAAGATCATCAAGAGATAAAGCAACGTAAGTTTGTACTAATGACAATGGAGATGCATAGCTCATGTCAAAATTTATGGTCTGACAATATCAGCAGTTAAGCTGCAACACTAAGTTCATTGGTCTCAACTGAAGTGAAAGCACAATGGAAATAAAATAAAACAGAAAAATACAGAAGTAATAGAGATAGATTAAAATGGTTTGACCTGAAGGCCTAACAACAATGTTTGGCTCATTCACTAATTATTTACCCTAAGCAATCCACTATATAATACATACTTCTCAGAAAAAATCAAACCATGTTTCCAAAAAGAAAAACTTCCATGGTTTTACATAACATATGCAGCACCTTCAATCTGTGTGATAACCCCCTACACGACATGAATTTCTTATCCCAAAGTACAGAAAAAAAAGGAGGAAAGAGGATCACAAGAAAAAATAACAACTTTAAGTTTTCTAGAACTATGTTTCCATGACTATTCCTGTCTTCCTGATACTGCATTACATAAGGAATGTGTATAGTCTGCAGATTCAACAGCTTGAGTACCATGTCAAAGCAAATTTCCTTGCAAAGTACTCTTAGGCATTTCTTTCTATAACAATATTAGAGACTTCCTTGTCTAGCAAGTGCTTTCTTTTCTATAAGATGTTCATTAGCTTTCACCACATTTAACCCCCTCCCAACACTTAATTCCCAAAAGGAAAACAAAGATGCATCAGTTCAAACAATAAAGAAAGTTTACCTATAATATATAACAAAGATGCATCAGTTCAAACAATAAAGAAAGTTTACCTATAATATATATATATATATATACATATATATATATATATATTAGTTGCAACATAAAAAGGGCAGCCCAGTGCATGAGCCATTGCGGGTCTGGGGAGGACCAGGAAGGACAGATGTATGCAGCCTTATTCCTGCAGATACACAAAGAGGCTGTTTCCAGTATTTGAACTCCGGTCACCCAGGTCACAATGGAGCAACCCAACCATTGCACCAAGGCCCACCCTCTATTTAAGTTGCAACATGTAACCTACAAAACCATGCTGAGAGAAATTTTTAAATTCTAGTGGTAAAGAGAAAAGTAGAATAAACAAGACAATAATAGAAGATCCAGGGAACAAACCAGAACTAGGTGCAGCCAGTTTATCTTCACATTCCTCCTGTTTTTCTTCACATGTTTCTGATGATGTGTTTTCATCACCTGAATATTCATAAAAGAATATTATTAGTTAGTAATTAAAGTAATACTTGAAGAAAAACACAAAGGCACTGCAATATCAAAGCAGCTTTGTTTTTTTTTTTTATCAGTATAACTGAAATTCATTAATAAAACAGAAAAATGGAAGAGGCGTGGAAGATTAATGTGGAGAGCCACAAGAGCAGCTATCTTATGGTCAGTTTGGGAAGAAAGGAATAATAGAATCTTTAAAGGCGTGGAGAAATCCAAGGAGGCAATTGTAGAAAGGATAATTATTATGACTATTCATTGGTTGAAAACTTTGGATTTGTTTAAAGACTTCTCAGCTAAAGACATTTACAGGAATTGGGAAGTGGTGGCTTCTACAACTTCCATGAAACCTATTGTGTAGGAATTGTGGTCCTCACCAACACAACAAAGAGTGAAATTGAAYTTTGATGGGAGTTCAAGAGGTAACCCGGCCCTTCAGGTATAGGAGGAGTTTTCAGAGATGAAAATGGCAGAATTGTGGCTTTGTTTTCAAGACCAATAGGAGTGGGGGACTCATTGAGAGCGGAGGTGATGGCCTTGCTTCAAGGTGTAAGATATGCAAAACAGTTGGGGTTACACCAAATTGAGATTGAGAGAGACTCTAAATTGTTGATTGAGTGGCTGCAATCTGGTAAGTTGGGAGTCTAGATTTATAGACAGCCCATAAGGGAAATCCACAATATAACAATGGAGATCGGCGCATGCTTCAAATGGACAAGGAGATTAGCTAATGGTTTAGCTGGCACATTGGCTAAACAAGAGACTGTGAGGGAGAGTATGTTCTGGGCAGTTTTGTAAGAAAGATTACTGGGGGCTCAACACCTACTTAGGGGTTGACAGCTGTACTTAAATTTGGAGTCATTTTAATGAAGTTACCGTTTCCAATAAAAAAAGAAAAGAAAAATGGAAGATAAAAATAAGGAGGAGATAAACTCTCTTAACTCCCCCATTGTAGAAGTAAAATGGATTACAATATAGCCCAGAAATTACTCAATTAGTGTTTCTTCCCACCCCTTGTTTAGCTAAAGCATCAGCCATGGAGTTGGCATCCCTCTTAAGTCTTAACCCAATTCAGCTTGACATCCATTCCTTGTGTCAAGTGTGCAAATTTCCTTTTTTCATTCATGTAAGCCCACCATCCCCTCTCCTCCTCTTTTTGAAGCCGGCCAATAACCAGCTTAGAATCCCCTTCAATTAACACCTTAGTAAGGTTAAGCTCTTTGGCTCTTTTAGCTCCTTCCACCACAGCAAGGATTTCTGCCCTTAATGAATCCCCAACGCTAATGGGTGCAGAGAAAAGAATAAGTAACTCTTGCTCTACTTGAAACTTTGTTCATCTACTTGAGTATGTAATGCAAGTAACTCTTTTCAAAACTTCGAAGTACTCAAAGGGCAAAAACATCAGCTAGCAATACACTTGATATGACCTTGTTACATACAAAAAAAAAAAAAAAAAAAACAAACAAAAAACAAAACTGAAAACGAAGTATCAGGGTGTTTAGAATGTGTTATTTTATTCTATATAAAACAATATAAGAAAAGCATGTTTTCAATTTAATTAACATCGTAAGGTCAACTTGCAATGCCCATTAACAGAGCAATTACTACCCCATTAAATTCAAGTTAAACCATATGATTATAGAATTCCACGGTTCCTTCAAAATCCCTACAAATGTTCCGATTATGCAAGAACCAACAATTACATAAACCAGACGGATAGCTTTTGTAAAAACCTACTTTCGTATTGTACCAAAGGCTTGAAACTCGAATTGGAACTTCCCTGTCAAAAAGATGAACCAGAAACTCAAATCAAATTATAGCTTTTAGAACATCCTATGACGAATGAGCAGAGAATGACATGATTGAGGTTACCAGAACATCTGGGGTCGATTCCTGATAAGCTTGAAACGACCTGACTTCTTTCCTATCTATGAGAAAGAATAGAAGTTAAAAAGAATTGATTCTTTATGAAGCGATATGAATCTATAGTCTATACAAGTGTGTTGTGAAATGGTTGCCTTCTCTTTTCAATGTAACTTTGGTGAGTGAGAGGACCGTCGTTCTCTTCTTTATTTTTGATAAAATCGATATTAGGTTTTCGCCTTCGATCAGGAGGGCGTTTACGACTGACTTTCTTCTCCTCGTCGTCCAGGCGTGGTTCTTCGGCTGGAGGAGCGTTCCCAGTCGCAGCGTTATAAGCTAACAATCGGAGTATACATGAACCAACAGAAAGGCCTAGTGAGATGGGGAGAAGAATTGCAGAGAACGAGATAGTTTAATTAATTGATCAACAACTAATACCTCTGAGATTTTGAAGAACGGAATCGAGACTGAAATCCTTTCTATATGCGAATGAAGGATTCTTATAAAAATTCGTCCGCGTCGTCATCTCTCTCCCCCGCTGGAATGGGCCTGAGCCCTGGAAACTGGAAAGTAGAAACTATGGAGTCCACTCGCCCTAAAGCTGAAGGTCTACATCGTATTGGCCGATACGGACGTAACGTCTAACAGACGGAGGCGAGGAGGAAGGGTGCAAGAAACGGGAGGCGACTACAAAAAGGCGGTTAGAGTGGGTTTATATGAGTTCAGACTCCTTTTGTTATTATTGAGTCTATCTCCACTTTTCCATTTTAATGAATCAATGTCTAATACACCCTTGGTATAAGTCATGTGATCTGCTTCCATCAAGTAAACTTCTTGATCACATATCTGTAACGAGTTAGAGGTCTAGACATCCCAGGTAGATCTTTTAAGTTGAGTAATATATAAAATCTGTGAGACATTTCTCACTATTTTTAAGTTCTCCTCATCAAAAACAATTTTTTGACAATGATCATTTAAGATAGGCAACGACTACTTTTTTATTCTAATTTATTTGTATTTGTTTTTCTAACATGTACTGGACAACCCCAAATCTTCTTCAAGTGACTTACACTTAGTTTCTTACCGGTCCATAGCTTATATAGAGTCTTAAGAACGAATTTGGTTGAAATCCGGTTCAGCACATAAATTGCAGTCTCCAATGCATGTCCCCAAAAGGATATAGGTAGTTCTAAATGCATGAAGAATGATCGGACCATGTCTAATAAAGTCCGGTTTTTTCTCTTTGACACACCATTTAATTGTGGTGTAGTAGGAGGAGACAATTGTGATATAATCCCATTGTCCTTTAGGTAATCTCTGAATTCATCGGAGAGATATTCATCTCCTCAATCTGATCGAAGGGCTTTGATGTGTCTCCCCAACTATTTCTCGACTTCTTGTCTAAATTTCTTGAACTTTTCAAATGATTCAGACTTATATCTCATTAGGTACATGTAGTCATATCGAGAATAATCATCGGTAAAAGTTATGAAATAACAGTGCTGATTTCGTGTCCTAACATTTATGGGACCATATACATCAGTATGTATTAAGTCAAGTGTGCTGGTAGATCTTTCAGGTTTACCTGTAAATGGTCGTTTTGTCATCTTACTTTGAAGGCAATGCTCACAAATTGATAGATCTTCTACAGTTAGAAAATCCAAATGACCATGCTTCACCAATCTTGTGATGCGATCTATATTGATATAACCAAGTCGTTAATGCCACAGGTACATGGGATTAACCGTATCATGCGTTCTCTTCCTGGGGATTAGTTCCGACGTAGTTTCGGTTATGTTCACTTCTAGAGAATGACGGAGGACATAAAGACCATTCTTAAATTCTCCATAGGTAAGGAATTTATTATTCAATTTAATAGTGGTATTATCACTGAACAAAACAGAATATCCATTTTTACACAATTTAGAAACTGAAATCAAATTTCTTCTAAGTAACGATACATAAAGACAATTTTTAAGGGTTACAATTCCTTATTTGAAAATTAAATCTACTATTCTTATAGCAGTAGCTACAACGGTTGCAGAAGTCTTCAAGTAGAACACCACCTCATCGTCATTCAGCCTTCTGCTTTCCTTGAACCCCTGTAGTGTATTATACACATGAGTGAAAACCCCAGAGTCAATACACCAGGATGCAAAAGTGACCAACAAATTGGTCTTTATGACAAGAGATTCAAAATTACCTTATTTGTTCTTGTAAGATTCTAGATATCGAGGACAGTTCCTCTTCCAATGTTTGGCCTTTTTGCAGAAGTGACACTCATCTGATGATTTTTCTTTCTTTTACCTTTTCGGCTTGCATGCATTCTTCTGAGGCCTCTTCTTACTTTTCCTCTTTCTTTTTCCAGATTTGCCACCTTCAACAAACATGACTACTAGCTTATCCTTCTTAATCAGTTCTTCAGCTCTCTACAATATATTGCTGAATTTCTAAAGGCTAACATTTAGCTTGTTCATGTTAAAATTCATGACAAACTGATTGAAAGAGGGAGGTAGAGAGTTTAGGACGGCATCAGTCTTGGTGTCATCACCCATCATCCGCATGACGTGGTCATGGACCAGTTGGCTCTTGGTCATCCTTGTGGTCATCAACAGCTTGAAGACCTTTTGTCTGACAGAACGGTTATGCTCTTCGTACATAGTCTTTAGACTATCCAGAATATTTTTGCAGATTTCGATTTTATCAAACTGTCTCTGGATAGAATTGTCTAAAGATGCTATGATGTAACACTGGGCAAGAGAGTTATTCTCCTCCCATTCCTAATATTCTCTCCTACGTGCTTCATAAGCCCTATCACTCGAATGTTCTGGAGCTGGGTTCTTGGCAATTTCTCGGACGTGAGGATCAGATTAAGGTTACGGTACCAGTTAGCATAATTAGGTCCCTTTAGTTTGTTGTTGTCCAACAGTTTGGCGAATTGTACGTGTGACATTTCTGATAAAGGACAATAGTTATTAGTCCATGGCCTAAAATTGTTTCATGTTATCTCACATAGAATGGTCTTTTATCTATGTTCCACCTCCATTTATTCATCTTTGAGATTTCGCTCCTATCTCAATGACGAGGACACGATGCATGTCCCTAAAAATGTGAGAAATCACATAGGTGCATGGAGCCAATTGTTTCAGCTGCAAAACCCCACCACTTTCTATGAATGATCAAGTATCCACCTATCTAATGAGCTTCCCCTTTGGCATCCATCAGACAAGGTTCATTGCCATTTTAGGTTAAACATTTTTGTCTGGTAAGTGCTGACCCATCATATCATGGACCCCAAGGTACCGTGAAAGAGTCTTCCATTTTAGGATAGGCCTCTCCCACCTCGGTCTATGACATCCCTATCATCTCATGAAGCAATCCCACCGATTGAACCAGCAAAATTGATAGCCCAATTTTATGGTGCATCTCCACCCACCGATTCAACCCGCTTTCATGCCAATGACAAAAAGCCTTTAAAGAATTCATCATATGATATTTCCTATCTCATTGCACTTATATTAATCCGGAGGGAACGAGCAAAATAATCCCTAAGTCTGATTTAGATCATACCAAAGTGATTCCCACTGACTTTCATAAAGTTAGATTCGAATGAGCCCAAATCGGGCTAGGGTTCCGCAAGGTTCCTCTTAGGGAGGAAGCTGATCAGAGGACCCATCGAAAAGGGAGATCATGCAATAATCTTAGGACATTATGGCAATGATGTGCATTCAACCATGATATTCGCAGAGAGCCACATACGTCTAAACATGGGCCAAGCTCTTATGATCCATGAACGAATCACATTCAGCACATCGTAAGCACAAGCATAAACACAAATTGATCCAATCAATTAAAAGGCTTGTAAAACCCTAATTAATTTAGTTAACGCACAATCAGCCCATTAAAGGCCCAAAAATAATCCAATAATTTCATCTTGATATATGGGCTAAACTGCAAAAAGCAGTTCAACCCACATAGCAGTAATGCTGAAACGGGTTGATGTTGCTTAACTTAACATAAGCTAGGTTTTCAAGGGTAGGCCGAATTGGTCCATGTGATGGACCATCAAACCCTTGGTCCAAATCCGGTTTTAAGCCACCAAAAATGAGACCATGGGGCTGTGATCATACCCCATCAAACCATTGGTTCAGCCCAACTAGTTTGGACCAAACAAAGTCAAATTGGCCTAGGGTTTGGTGTCCAAAACATGCAACAATTTATGTGAATATGATCTGAAATTTTAACAGGCGAAAAATAACAATCAATCATAGCAGAAAAACAATAAACTAGGGTTACAAGTGTGATGGTCTGAATCTGATCCAGACGAACTACAAACCTGCAAAAAACTATTAATTACAAATTGCAGATTTTCTACAAAAATTTCCTTCTCCTTCTCTACACGCTCCAGCAATTCTTCTGATGTAAAAAAATAGAAAAAGCCCTAATTTTCTATTACTTACATCAGAAAAAAATCCTAATACATTTTTTCTAAAAAGAAAAAAAATATATTTACAAACCAATAATCAAATAAATAATTTTACAAGTGCGCAGATCTTGGCTCCAATAAAGAACTCGATTTCCATCACACAAACAGCCCAAGAGCCAAAGATATCACAGTAGAACAATTCTAAATAATATCAAAATATAATAAAAAAATTTCAGATCAATTCGCCCAAAAACTGAGAACTGATTTCTTATAGAATTGCAAACTGCGCAAATCAGCCATACTAGTTATGCCAATTTCAGTCTTATTTCAAATCTGGTCTATTTCGGTTCAAGATTGAACCTTTGGCTTTGATACCACTAAAGGAAGGTCAGATCCATCATATGGATGGCTGAACCATGCTAGATGGTTGGGCGAAATTTCAAAAATTTCTTTCAACGTTCTGAGAATCGTATTCCTAGTTTTAGAAAAATTGCATTTTTCAAGGATCGTTCTTACACCGAAACTAGACCAATTCTGAAACCAAAAGAAAGGGAGAAGTATACATGATACGGATTCCACGAGTGTAGCTCCCAAAATGGTAGTTCATGCCCAAAGTGAACCCCAAAACAGCCTCCACCGAAGATGAAGCAGCTTGAAATGAAGCCAATTCAGCAATGCAGTTTTTAGCAAAATTGCAATCCAACCGATTGGATCGTGCAAGGGAGGTGAGCACGAAATAATTCAGATATTTTCTTGCAAAAATAAAAAATCAGAACTGATCTAGATCAGTGACAAAGAAGGAGAATGAATTAGGGTTTCTGAGTGGCAAGAGCAAAGAAAGAGAACTGAGAGCAGAAGATGATCTGAAGCAGTTCACCTCCTCCCTTTTTATAAGCCTTAAGGAGCACCACTCCTAATCGAATTAGGAGGTTCCTAATACAAATCTTTATTTGGATTTGGATTCTCTAAGTGGACAAGACTTATCTTCTTATCCTAATGGGTGCTCCAAACCCATATTCCTCCATGTCACATGACTACTTAAACTATTATGTGAAATCTTGATTAATCCAATTAATCATGGGCTTTAGGCCCATTTAGTAAGTGGCTCACGTCCCTAGGTAGTTGCTGACCCATTTATATTCACTTTGTATGGTGTGGGACCCCAACAATGACCTTACATAAGCCCACATGGATTTGGCCCAACCTTTGTGAAAAGGCCTGGCCGAATTCACTATCAAGTACAATGAACCCCTGAGTCCATCAGTATGGGCTCTTAATGG